CACCACCTTGCAGCCCAGCACAAAAAACAGCATATTTAATAAATTTAGCTTAAATATATACTTTTTTTGAAAAGCTCGTTTTGTCTTTTTGGAATATCTTGTAGCAGTTTAGAAAAGCAGAAAAACAAGCGAAGATGCAAAACACCCCCCCAAAAAATCTAAAAATGAAAAAAGGAGAGAAGCTCATTAAAAAAGATAAATAAACAAGTCCTTTCATGGGCTTACAACATTATTTCTAATGAGCTGCTGCCTTTTTTCCAGCACTTTAAAGTTTTTTTTTTTTTTAAATTTCCTTTTTAATTTTCTTGTTTTTTTGTGTGTTTGTTCGCTTTTTCTTGTTTGTTTTCTGGAGTGTTCACAAAGCTGTTTTACCCGTTTTCCTAATGAGTTTCAGGCTTTTTAATTTCTTCTGCAGAGTGCATTGTGGGAAATGAATGTCCATCAACAGCTTCATTAAGATGAAGCATTTTCAGTAAGAAAACTGTTTTTTAATACATTTTTTTGCAACATACTTTGCTTAGAAGTACCAAACTGGGAGGCAGTTGTTGTGTCCGACTTACAACACATTTATTGTATATACAAATTGCATATATTATTGCTATACGTAGCATACACACTGTTTTATACGGTGTCAAACAGATATAAACCTAACAGTAACACTGCCAGTTAAACTTAAAAAACACAGCAATTTTTTTCAAATTGAATTTGTGTGCATGTGGGTGTGGAGCTGTTTCACCATTATTCACTGTAGCAGCTCCCTTCACTTTAGCTTCCTTCACTTTGTCACCTCCCCAGTGTGAACAGGCCTACATGTGCAGCAATATGATTTTGGGACTCTGTGGGAAACAAGCTGTTCAGCCTGTGGTCCAGTAGATGGCAGCAAATTTTCAACCAACTCTGTAAATGTTCCTTTCCATCTCCCCTCTGTCTTCTATCATTACTGCAGCGATGCCCTCACAGGTCTGACCTTTACACCAGGCAGGTATGGATCCTGTGAGCAGCCAGCTGTCAAGAGCTCGATTGGCACGTGGGGAAGCAGGTCGTGCTTCACTCTCCACCTTCCAATCCCGCTCCCAGTGATCAGGGCTATTTGCAAAACATTAGTCCAGCAGGTGTGTGTGTTTGTGTGCATGGGTGGAGAAATCCATATTGTCCTCATGATCTCCGTTAGAAGGACCGGGAGGGTTCTGGTGTGGGTTTATACATCTAAAGCGATAAGTTTGAAATACGTTCTATCCTGATCACCTTTCTTTTTGTACATGTTCATGTCTCTGTCATCAATCACCAGGTCAAAGAGGCGATATCCATTCCAGGAAATGTTACACACTTCCACTAGCTGCCACTCGTACAGGAGAAATGGTGATTGATTTCCTGAACGCTGCATAATGTACATAAATGGAGTGCAAAGGAAATCAAAATTTATCGGATACTGGCTTTGAAAGAGTCGAGGAATTACTGTGCAGTGTAATATCAACCAAAGTCAAAATTTACCATGTGTTATGGATGTCACACACCATCAATTCTGTCAGGTTTCAAACCGTGCCAGCTACGGTAGCCTACATATTAGGATTCTGTCCAGCTCTGCACAGAGCAAGAGATATTTGCTGCCGTGGAGAAGGATGGGTCAAATTTCCAGTGAGCACCAAGGACATTTGGAGACTTTTACATTAGTTAAAACACAAACTGGCGTGCGGTTTGAAGTGAAAAATGATCAGGTCGGGGTTGTTTGTCAGCTACTGCGGTTACACAGAACAGGCCATCAACTTCCTGCTGCTCAGTGCGTTTTCAAAATGCACTTTACCGAGGCTTTGTAATAAAATCTGCAGCATGGGTGGACTTTTGTTGTGTGTCATTTGTTAAAGATAAAAATATCTGGAAATGTGAACCTTATGGTCCAACTCAGGTGATTACTTAATGCAGTACTGAAATGTACCCACGTGATGTATCAAAATATAATTAAGTGCCACATGATATCTATTGAATTCTCTCTTAGCTTTTTTTTTCTATTCAATCCTAAATTTGAGCTTGGTAATAATGGGAAGAAAACAACACCTTCCTTCCTTCCTTCTCTGTACTCCATGTGGTTTTGGTCCAGATCTCACTTGTTTGTTGTGCACTGCAGGGGCTCCTGCGAGGCTGATTACTCCTATCTTAAAATGCCATGTAGAAGACAGCAAAACAAAGCACACTGGCTGGGAACACGAGATATCAGACAGAAGCTCCAGGTACTCTTTATCTGCAAAGTTTTTTCGTCTTTTTCTTTTGGCATGTCTTGTGTGAATGGGGTACAAAGAGACCCACATGATGCTGGAGACACAATACATTCAGAGTGACCTAATTTACGCTCTGTAGATCTCGCTGGTTCTCTCATCTGGTTGTTTTATGAGGCCACCAAAGGGCTATTTTTATGCGAATGTGACTTCTAGGAAAGCACGACCCAGACTCGCTCAGGGTCACACCGAGGAATGCAGCCATTGGACAGGCTTTAAGCGCAACACATGCAGGGACTGGTTTCATTAAGAAAAAAAGAAAAGATAGCATCATTTCATTCTTAAGTTTTTTTTGTTTGTTTTTTCCCCCCGTGTAGTAACTAGTCATTTTTATGTGCCATTACAGCCTATCACTAGACGCGCAAAAGGGGAGACACCTGACGTCTCCACCACGTACGCGCGCCTCCAGCGTTGGCTGCAAAAACCAGCAAAGCTTAACGTGTGTTCGCGGTTCCACGGAGATTTGGTGGCTGAACGAAGTCATTGAGCGCGGTTTGGCAGAGCAGCCGCTTCATCTGTGAGCCTCCCACATTCACATTCGCCTGTGCGCAATGGCACCGAGCGCTCCTCCGGCTCCTCCCGCTCCGCCGCGCAGCGCTGGACCCAGTGACCGGACAAGTTCTAACTCTGCACGGGGGATGCTTTTCCTCGATGGCATCTGATGAATTCTTCACTGGGACACAGTAACAGGTACGTAAGTGTGTGTACATTTTGTTTGGAGAGAAAGAAGAAGAAAAAAAAAAACACACACAAAGCATTAGTATTAAACGCCCTGTTGAAATGTTTTTTTTTCTTGTTTTCGCTCCGGGTTTGGACAAATTGCTTCTTTCTGCATGTGCTGCATGTGATCGCTCGTTGTATTGGGGGACAAAAAAAAAAAGATTCTTCCTCTGCGTTCCTGCACTACATTTGACCCCAGCCCTTCTCTAAGTGTGCCTGCAACGCCTGACAGCCAATCATAGGATTTAATTGAATTACACGATTAAGGTTAGACTCTGGCAAATTAAGATTCCTTGGCAGCTGTAATAAATTCCAGATAACATATGAATACGGGAAAAATCAATTAGAAGCTGTCAGCTAAGTCTAGTTTGGCAGCAACCTTGTGTTAATTGATCCACAATAAATTATTATTCCTGTGATCATGGCCTTTAAGTCTTCTATGCAGTCATATACAATGAAATAATCCCCCATTAGTGTGCGCTAATGAGTCCAGAGCATGTGGACTGAGCCAGAAACTAGATACATGTGTGTTCCTGTGCACTGAAGAGTCTGCCCATTTCACACACACTTGTAGGAGGTCAGTGTTGCACAACAACACACTGAGGGAGCAGGATCAGTGGTTAACATGAGAGCAAGGTCGCACAACAATGGAGGACAATCTGTTTCAATTAGCACTTGTTCTACAAGTATATACAAAACCTGTTCGCTGGAGCTGTGTGCAACCTTGCATCACATCATCAATGCCCTCAGATTAAAAATTCATGTGTGTTTATGGGCCTCCCTCTCTGTGTGAGTGCACATTTGTGGTTATTTTCAAATGTCTTATAATGATCTTCCCTGTGACCTGTCGCACCTAATTTTGTGATAAACCTGCTGCTGCACTCCCCCTTAGGAGACTTCAAGGTGATCGGTATTGGTGCCTGGTTTTCCTCGGCTTTCTCCAAGTTCTCTTGTGGACAATAATATGATACCGGAGCCATTGAGGAACTGAGTGGAATTATAGACTGAGGAAATCTTTAAAAGCCTCCTGGGTTGGAGCCAGGACTAAAAAATGATCCGATTTTCTTGGTGTCTCTCTACCTATTTCTGTCACTGAAAGAGAGGCATAAGATGGATCAGTTTGTTTACCATCTAGAAACAGGTGTGAGCATTACCACAGCACTGTTATCTGGACTCTGGCCAGATAGGGAGGTTTGGGGATAAATGAGAGCAAGGATGGAGAGCACGGGACCAGAGCCAACCGGACCTCTCGGGGTGGCAGCACGGACTTATTACCCCTCCCCAATGAGTTAGCTTCACTGACAGCGCTCAAAGGCAAACTGCCAGCCTCTCATTAAAGTTACCATCTCTGCTTTGTAGCCTCGGTTTCTATTAGTTGTGTTAAATACCATTTACTGGAAGGCTGAAAGGCTGACTGGAACAATCACAAATGCACGGCACAGTCGAAGTTTGCTGTTAAGAGCATGAGTTTCTGCTGAGTCTTTATGGAGGTGATTGTCTTGATAGGAACCACACAGCCATATCAATATGTGCTTCCATTTTTCATCGAGCAGGAAAAATAAAGCACTTGTGCCAGCAAACAGCAGCAATGCTCAGCAAAGAGCTCTACTGCTGGGACGCATTTCAAACATATTTTATTTATTTGTTCATTTGACTATTGTTGCTAAAGGCAGGATGTTTCCCAGCAGGCCTTTGGCATGAAATGGTGCTTGGCATCATCCGAGGGCTAATATGTTTTACTTACCCAACTGAAGAGACATGAAAAATGCTATGTTTCCGTTTACATGGAAGTTCAAATGAGAGGAAGTTATGTGAGGAATGGGTAAACACCAAATATGCTCTGTTCTTTGGGTAGATCTGCCAAACAACTCACCTCCCATGTCACCGGGACGTCTCCATGGCGATGTTTAGCAGTGCTGAGCGGCTCTGGAACGAGTCAGACCGCCTTGGATGGGACGAGAGGAACGAGAGCTCGGAGGCATCAGGGCAGGACGAGCGCAACTACTACGCCATGCTGTACTCCCTGCTCATCCTGGCCATCGTGTTTGGGAACGTGTTGGTGTGTCTGGCTGTGCTGAGGGAGCGTTCCCTCCAGACCACCACCAACTACCTGGTGGTCAGCCTGGCTGTGGCCGACCTGCTGGTGGCCTCGCTGGTCATGCCCTGGGCCGTGTACCTGGAGGTGAGTATTTGTACTCACAAAGCTGTGACAGGGGGGTACAGGAGCCCTGATGTTGATCTGTGGCTCTCTTTGCTTTTCGTGTTCCCACCTCCTTTATACTCCACGTGTTCATTTCAGTAGTTTTCTAAGCTTTATGTTAGATTGATTACACATATTGCATACAAATGATGTATGTGTATGGATATTGTTACAGTGATATTTAATAAACTTGATGTGATTCAGTGTTTAGGTTGGTTTGGTCAAGGTTGCATTCCTACTATCAGTGTTTAGAGTGGCAAAAGCTAAACAAAGCAATATTACCATAATCAAATGTTTATTTACTTTGAATGCTAATTAACTATTTCAACTGTTAATCCATTGTTTCAACCATTTACACAGTTCATTTGTTTATGCTTTAGCTTTTTAAACTGATTATTTACCACTAGGTAATGGTTATTTCAATCAATAGTCTATTACTTTATTTTAATTCAATTTTATTTATATGGCGCCAATTCACAACATATGTCATCTAATAGCACTTAACATAGGAAGGTGAAGACCTTATGACTTTTAAACAGAGAACCCAACAATCCAGTGGTCCCTTTTGATTCCCTATGAGCAAGCAGTCAGCAACAATAGGAAGATAAAACAAAACAAAACAAAAAAAAACAACTTTAACGGTAGGGAACTTTAACTTAAGAAAGAACCAGTTTCAGGGAAGGCAGTCATCTGCCTCAACCAGTTGAGGTGAGAGTGGGGATGAAGGAGGTGACGGATTGGAAAGCAGATGAAGAACAGACAAACGATACAAACAGATCAATGAACATTTTGGAGGTCGGTGAGGCCAGCGACTGCAGATCAGAGATGTGTAGCTCCAGGTCCAGAGAAACCTGCAGAGAGAACAAACACAAAACTTCAGACACAAAGACACAAAGTTGGTGATATGTAATGGTAGTGTATAACTGTATGGAAGAGAGAGAGAGGAGAGTAGGGGAGAGGAGCCCAGTGCATCATGGGAATCCCCCAGCAGTCAAAATCTATGGTAGCATAATTAAGGGACAGTTACTTTTGGATAAATATTTCAAATGTTTATCTATTACATCAGCCACTTCAACTGTTTATATAATGCTAGATTACTAAAGTTAATGTTTCAACAAACTATTTCAAATGTGCATCAGTATTAAGTAACTCCGTCAACTTTTAGTCATTTACTTTAACTATTTTAAATGTTTAACACGAGTTAACTGTTATTCAATCAATAACTTTAGCAGAATATTTCAAACGTTAGTCCAATATTTCATCTGTTTCCTCTCTTTACTTATTGCCGATAGCTAATGTTATTTCAGCCAATTACTGTTAGCTAATTACTTAACTATTTATTTTATTTCGCTAACTTTTTAAAGTGTTTATTGGCTACGTTTGTTATTTCAACTGTTTAATAAAAGCTAATTGCTATTGAATTAAGAATCCATTATTTTTTAGCTAAATATCTCAGCTATCCATTGGTTTTCTTGTTCTGGACCGTTTCTCAATTCCACCTAGCCTTTGTTTTATCTAGCACTAGTTAACTGTTATTTCAATCAGTAATTCGGTAGTTTTAACCAACCTTTTCAACAGTTTGTCAATTCTAACTTCACAAATCTTTCATCCTCTGGTTTTTACTGATTATGTCAACTGTTTATTCCTTATTTGAGCCTTTTCAAGTCTTTATTCTAATGTTATGTCGATCAGTAATTAATTACATTTAACCAACTATTTTGTTTCTGCTATTTCAGCAGTTTTTCAGTTCTAGCTAACTGTTTCAAACATGTATCCATTGCTTTTAGCTAACTCTATCAGCTGTTTATCCCTCAGCTAACTACTTTTCTAATTTATATTTTCACTATTTATCATTTACTTTTAAATTGAAAACTCTTTTAAATATTTATTCAATGCTAGTTAAGTATTTCAGCTACTTGTCCATTGGTTTTGGGTTGCATACAACTGTAAGGTATCCTTTTTTTAGTTGATTATTTTAACAGTTCATCCATTATTTTCACTTCATAGTTTTAATGTTTATCCATTAGCCACTTCTAGTTAACTTTTTCAACCACCAATCTGTTAATATGAGGTCATTATTAAATCTGTTTTCCAATTACTTTTGGCTGATTAATCACTAGTTTCCTTTAACAAACTGCTTAGTGTAAAAATTGTAGCTATTACTTTGCTGTCTATCATAAAACATTTGCTTAAGATCATAATCACAGCAATTTGTAATCCTAACTGGAAGTTCACTTTTGTTCCTAAAGATAAATACCACTTTTTATTAAGTGCTTTTGAGTATCAGCTCCTCCACAATATTTCCGCTGACTTCCCTGACAGCTGCAGAAGTAAGTCGACCCCTTGTGCTCCAAGTTCGGCGAACAGAACCGATCAGTCAGAGAGTCAGAGAGCTCTGAAGGACAGAAGGGTAAGAAAGTGGAGAGGAAGTGTTCAAGCTACAGAGGATGCGGATGGGAATGAAATACAGATGCTTGGCAGTGAGTGAGGAGCTGCCACTGGAGAGGAGAATAGAGGAGATGAAGTTGTGTGGGAGACACAAAAAAAAAAAAAGGAGCGAAAGTCAAAGAGAAAAGGGATGAGAGTCATTTGGAGCTTATTACATAGTGACAACTGTGTGGGTGATCAGAAGACAGTAATGATGATGAAAGGTATTTTAGATAGTGCTCCACTATTCATGTAGATTATGCATAATTGCTGAAGGACATATTGAATATTAAATAAAGACTTCATCTACTTTGGGTCAGGAGCTGAGTTACAAATGACAAAGACGCAACCTGTGAATTTCGTTTTTATCAGGTCTTTAGAACAAATGTCTATTCATAGTAGTTCACAAACTACTCACTTGTGTAACATGTTCTGCCTGCTTCATAATTTGTCCAGCCTCCCTGCTAATGCCACTTGCTGTTCAGCAAATCCCTTAAGTGTACAGACGTGTTTGACCCTCAGGCATCTACATTTCATCAATTTAATATACAGCACATTGAAAATGTACTGTAGCAGTGTCCTGTTTGTGTCAGCACATGGACACAGTGTGTGCATAATAGCATCCTTGAAGCTTGGAAGGACAGAGTGTCACTGAAGGGCAAGTGTTTTCCCACAGAGACCTAAAAATCATCTGGTGGGAGTCGAGTTATGTTTAACTCGCAGCCTTATCACTGGCCAAACTTTGCTCAATGTCAGCAAAAAGTGGTCATTTTCTCTCTGAAGATTCAACAGCAGTGCAGCCGGGAAAAAATTAACACACTCAGTGAGCAGAGACTGACAAATTAAAGTTGATTACATCATATGACAGGTAAATTAAGGCAGCCAGGAGCCTCGACGGGATTCAGTCATGAGTTTAACTTCCGTGCGGGCAGTCATGCTGTAAGAGCATGTGCTACATTTTTCATTTTAATGTGTATCTCTTCATATGAGGCTCAAAGGGGAGCTTACAATCCCATAAGGAAAGGGCCATTACAAGATCATATGACACAAAAGTCCAATAGTCATTAATATGTTGGATAACGGTGGGAAAAAAAACACACATATTAGTTCAGCATCAGTGACAAAGACTTGGAGCTCCAAAGACTGGCACTGCGAGCACCATCACCCTGCGAGCTCTCATCTGAAGGATGTTGTGACCAGAGGTTGCTGGTTTGCTTCTGCAGGTCTGTTTTTGTTAGAACAGTGACGCAGTATTGCTCTCGCTGCCCTCAGCAGGTACTAATCATGTGTCCTTGAGCAAGTCACCTCTTTACTCAATGGTACAATTGATCCATGACTGGTACTTGGAGTAAACGTATTGGCAACAATGACTGAGCGTCCACTTTCCACAATTCATCCTCAGTGATGCTGCTCAGCCTCAGCAAACATATGAATTCATTATGGAAACAGCTCCAAGCGTAGAGTGTAAGTTAGTCATCTCTCAGGTCAGTCAGGTGTTTTATTTCACATAAGACTATGAAATAAGATGCAATGTGCATGGTATACCTCTATTTGTTTCGCTATCATTTCCAAAACCAGAACGCCAGCTCAAAGCCTAAAGAGTTTTCTTGTATATGTGTCTGACTTTCTCACTGAAAGAGAAGTGCCAACTTATCAAACTGCTATTTGCTGATCTTCCGTCACAACAATTTCTGCACTCGACCTTTTTACCGAGACATTTAACACACTTTGCTGCTGAGAGTATATCACATATGTTCAGTGAACATGTCCACAGAGGCCCCTTTGAATCACCATCTCACGCTGTGTACACAATATTAAATATGTGCCTCAGTCTTTTTATGTGTGGGGGGTGACTGAGTACAAACAAGTGCTGCATACATCATGTACTGTATATTGTGGGTGGAGCAAAGACCGAGATATGCGGTCTTTTTTGTTTAATCCATCTCCACACTTTACATAAAATGCATACTCATGCATATTAAAAACAACTTGTAATATAGAAGTGGGGAACTAGAGCACAGTGGGTCAGAAAAAGTGGGATTAAACATTTGCAACATTCTTCCATTGCATCCTCCTCACCTGCTGAATGCCCACATCTTTCAAACTGCATACCCTCACTTTGACACAGGGGGTTTTGTGTTGGAGCTTTATTGTCCCAAAACCCAAATCAGCCTCAATGGCATCACCATAAAATCATTTTGGTTGGTTTCTGACGACTGTTTTCACAGACTGAGAGCTACTATTCATTACAAGTTAACTGATTCTTATGTGTAAAATTTGTGGAATGCCCCTTTACAATGAAGATTAGGGTAGAGGCAGGATTAAGGTGAGGTATGTGAATATCAGTAGTGAAATGTTTCCATATTAGTATGTTAAAAACACCTGTGTACTTGTGAAACTCTAGCCTATGCAAGAGAGAAAATGTTGCCTATTTACATCTTTGTGCGCATTTGTGTGTCTGCGCTATTCCCACGTGTGCCCACCGCCTCTCTGTGTAGGTAGGCGTATATTCTCATCCTGGATTTGAGATTCAGTAGTGAGGCAATGGCACTTGGATCCCATTTATCTCTGTCAGACAGTTATTACCAGACATTATGGAGCTTAACTTAAAGGCTGTCAGCCTGAGCAGGACTCTGCTGAGGGGTTTGGTGCTGGAGACGTGGGAGTTTGGGATATCATTGGGTTAGTGAGGGGTTTATGTGCTCTCTGAAAAATTGAAAACCCCCTTCAAGATAATTAGACCCTGCATTAGACAGGTTCCCTCCTTGCGTGTCGTCCATCATGGCACCGGCGCCACACAACAGTTACACTCGACTCCTTCAGAGCACCTTGATGCTAATGTTGTCTGAGGACATAAACGCACGCATAAATTAGCCTGATTAACATCCCTATAGGCATAATAGATCAGGTTGGATATGGCGCCGATGTTGGCAGCTCACGCTTGTTTTTCCAGACCATCGCTTACGTGCCCTTTTTATCGTCTCCATTGCCTCATTGTCACCTGTGCGACCGTGTGCGTTCACAGGTGCGTCACACTTCACGGTGAAGAAGGGGAAGAGAAACGTGTGCATTGTTAATCTGCCTGTCTGTCCTGTGCAGGTGGTCGGCGGCGCCTGGCTTTTCAGCCGACTCTACTGTAACATCTTTGTCACGCTGGATGTGATGATGTGCACCGCCAGTATCCTCAACCTGTGTGCTATCAGCATCGACAGGTGAGTGAGTGTCTGTGTGTGTGCGCTCCGGGTGTTACTGACGCTGTGGGGACTTAAATCTGCAATCACACTACAGGGACATGTCTTCCCTGTAAGGACAAAACACAAATCCACATGTTGTGAATGAATTTTAAGGTTGGGATATCTTTTAAGGTCAGGGTTAGGCAAGTAGAAGATATGGAAAATAATGCAACTCAATTCAATGTCCTTTGAAGTCATAGATACACAACTGTGTGAATGTGTGTTTGCCTTCTTGCAGGAGTTACTGTATGACTACAAATGTTGCCATGGCATCGCCAGTGTAAATGTCATCCATGAGGGATTTTCATATTTCCAGGTGTTTTATTTCCGTCACCTCACCTCATAGGCATTTCAAAGCTTAGTGCAGGAAGACAGCATTGTCCCACTTTGCTCATATCTTCTTGCTAGATGAGTGTCCGCGAGGAAACAAGCGAAAATTATAGGTTTCCAATATGCTGCATGGTTCGGTGGCTTCGTCTATCTTCCACATATTTGTTGGCATTAATGCAGGAGGAACCGTGTTGTGCACGAGTTTGAATCTTTTCTGCAGATGTGCATCTACTTTTTACATTATTTATTTGCTGTGCTTTCTTCGTGTGTCAGTGTTAATATTTAATATCTCTCTGTGGTCTTTGAACTTGTAACCCGCGGGCACCAAGAGTTCAATTGTAAAGAATGAAGAAAGTACTGCATAAGAAGTAGCGGTATCAGGGGGATTTATTTGCACTTCCTGTATGAAGAATGGGGCTGTAACAGAGGCATTTGTCTTTCTTTGCAGTTAGTAAGACTTGAGAGAAAGATGATTCTTAAGATCACATAATGATTAATATTCCACTCATCCCATGTTCATTGCACATCTCTTGCTTATCAGATATGATTAATTGCAAATAGTAAAAATGTCGTTTCAAGACATACTTTTTCAGTTTCTATTGTATTGATTGTGCAGAAAATAAATCTGATTAATGAGAGTGGATAAAGATGTTTTTATAACAAATGACAATGTGAGGAACCTGCAGAGAAATGTGCTCTCACTCTGACAGAGCTTAACGGGGAAGTTCAGGTAATTGTTAAGCTGCTCTGATTTATAGCATCATTTTCAGGTCATAGATTGCAGCTGTCTTTGTTCAAAAATCTCTGAAAATCCAATGTACAGTACCAGCCCAGCAACAAATGGCAAATTTGGCAACCGGCTATAGTGAAAACAGGTGCACATTCAGAATCAGATATAACTGCTGGATATGTAAATTGGCAACTTTGTTTAAAGGGCCCACATAATGCTTTTTGAGTTGTTCCTCTTTCATTCAATGTGTTATTTAGCTGCTTTTTTTTGCATGTAAAAAGTCTGCAAAGCCCAAAGTCCACACCAAAGGGAGTTATTCTCTCCCACAGAAAACACTTCCCTGACTGAAATGCCTTGTTTGAACTTCAGGCTTTTCGTCTGTTACTTATCTATGTCACCAGCCACTACATTTGCATAAAGCCTGATTAGCGGCTAATTTAGTTCACCCTCAAACAAAGAATAAGCAGCTGCTTCACATTATTTCTTCATTAGAGCTACACCTCTTTGCCCTTTACTCATATCTCAGATCAGGGGTGATAGAACGTAACCATCTTTGACTTCCATTTGTCGGGTCAACTGACCAATCAGAGCAGCTTTGAGTTTTTGGGAGGGAGATATTAATTAGACAACATATTAAATAGACAAGAGCTAAACAGCAGTTTACAATATGGAAAAAATAAAATGTTTACATGTGAAAATATTGTAATAGACCCAAATAATAGAACAATCAACCTGTTAATGAGCAAATTAGGGACCCTTTAAACTTTAAAAGTAATTTTATCTCAATGTTGTGTTCAACATATGTGTCAGCTACCACCAAGCAGCTCTAAAATGATTAGAATTTAAAACTCAATGCAGAGATTGGCGCAAACGGTAGCCCACAAGCCTTTCAAACAACTTTTAACTTTTGTTTTTTGGTTTTTTATTTGTTCTGCTGAAGGCTTTGCTACTCGGTGTGTTGAGGAAATCTAAAGAACCTGGCTTCATCTGCCTGCCTCCTATCTTCTGAAGTACATGACAGTCACAACTAAACAATTTAAACTGAACACCCTTCAGCAACAGTCTATGAGCTGATCATGGGACTGATTTGCCGACAGAAAATTCTTGAGCACCTGTAATATCTTTTGTCTCTTTAATTGCATATTGTTAGATGCTTGCTTTTCTTTGTACAGTACATAATTTGCACCTGAGCGATGAAGGGATTCGGAGCCCTGTGGTTCTTTGTGATTGATTATTACACGAGTCAACAGCTCCTCCAGAGCATCATGTTTGTGAGACTCCATATTAATGTGAAGCACCGGGGGCAATCTGTGGTGCTGATAGTGTATAACACACCTGTATTACTTTTGTGACAGGCCTGTTTATTTACAAGTTCATAGCAAAGATTGCTTTGATAAGAGGGAAGATTTGCTGACTGTTAGAAGCAGGAGTCAAACCAACATCTACAGAAGCAGTATAAATACACCAGGAAAGAACTTTTTGCCTCGAACTTCAAGGTGAATCGTCTTTGTGCAAGTATTTATGGTGCAGGTCGTGTTTTGAGCGGTGACTCGGGGCTGATGAGCCTTGTTTTTATTCGAAACTAAAACTGTAACTTAAAGCCGCGCTTGATCTATAAACCATGTACATTCCTTTTTACCACTCCGCTCTTTCATCTCCGCTCTTATTTAAGCAGACAGCGCCGTGGCAGAAGGGTAAAGACCACGCAAAGCAGCGAGGGGAGGTATTTTTAGTGAACGTCTGTGCCTGTTTGGCTCCGGGTTTTACTCTGCATTTTGCCCACAGAAGAACCAGAGTAATTAGTGTGATGAGGATAAACAATCATGGCATTTATCTGGCTCTAAACAACATAACATCACATCCATTTTAGGTTGGGGTCCAACATAATTGCTGCTTCTTCAGAGCCATTGCTGAACCTAGTTTTTTCATGCTCATTATACACTCTTGGCATATAGTGTGCTGATTAACTCTTAAATCAAAGCCCCTCTAGGGTTATTGCTGAATACCCAAATTGTTTCTAAATATGCCTGCTTTGCTTCTCCATTGTTGGTATTTTTATCATCCAGTTTCTCTCAGTAGTGCATTTCTAGACATCCCATAAGCCCAGTTGTTGTTTTTTTTTTCCAAGGGCACTCATTCTCTCCTTCTAATTATTGCCTTTTACTGTACTACATCAGCACTTTTGCCTTCATTCAAATGTCACCAGCGCACACTCAAACAATTTCAAAGCTCTTTGTGTCTGCAGGTATACAGCAGTTGTGATGCCCGTCTTGTACAACACCACTCATCGCTCCAGGAAGAGAGTTTTTACTATGATTGCCACCGTGTGGGTCCTGGCCTTCGCTGTCTCCTGTCCCCTGCTGTTTGGCTTCAACACCACAGGTCGGGTCAACAACGTTTTGTTCTGCTCTATTGATGTTTTTCCGGTGGAGAATTTGTGAGAAGTTGGTGTTCAAAACAGAATGCAAGTCACGGGAGGGAGGCACTGTGTCGCTCTGAAATTCAGGATCAAACTTCAGTCTGGTTGCTGCTTGCAGGATGCCATTGGGATGTGAATTGCATGTAAAGATGCACTCAGCCTGTAAAAAAAATATGATGTGCAGTGGGGCTCTTTCCTGTGCTTTGTCAAAACAGAGAAAATAACCACTGATGATGGTGAAATTTTTAATGGATAGCTTGTGTTACAGCGTCGAGCACACTGAATTTGAAGGATGGTGGGTGTTCGCCAGGCAGACACGGTCTGATACAGCACTTCTGCATCACATTGTTTTGGCCGTAATTACAACCAACTCGCGAGGAAAAACTGTTCATGTCAGCCTTGTAACATAGTCTGAGGTTTGGGGAAATCTCTGACAGCTGCAGTAACTCAACAAAACACAGGCAAAAGTGCTGCAAAGCAACTACTGCTGGCAATTACATCTTAATAACTTTAACACGATTTCACTCAATTCAGCCAAGTGAAAATGAGCTAATTTCGACTAATTAAATGACTAGCATTGTTTGAAATCATGGTGAGAACAAATTGGTATAAGGCAGGTTTTCCTGTTCCTCCCATTCTGCAGCAAAACTAATTAAGTACTTGAAATGTAAGATCTAATGAATTTGGGGCTTGATCCACACGAGGGACTAAACGTGAGGACAGCTTGATTTTCTAC